GAACCAAGATACTCATGTAATGGTACAAGATCCCAATGATGAATGTAACTGTATTGTATACCTAAAATGTACCAATAAACTTAATGGGGAAAAAATTAGTTGAGTATATTTACTAGCTTTATTTCTGGGTTTTCTATTCTATTCTATTAGTCCATATGTTAGTTTTTATGCCAGGACCATACTGATTTGATGACTATATTTACAAGAAAATTTACATGGAAAAATCATTTGTAGTTCTTTAAAACCAACGATGATCTATTGTAAAAACAAATCAATAAAACAATTCTATTTATGATGGCATCAAAAATAATAACATATTTGGGAATAAATTTAACTTAGAGGGTGAAAGTTCTATGCACTGAAATTTATAAAACGTCAATGAAAGAAAATAAAGAAAGTACCAATTAACGGAAAGATATCTTGTATTCATGGATTGGAAGAATTAATAGTATTAAAGTGTCCATGGTACCCAAAGCAATTTGCAGATTTAATACAATCACTGTCAAAATTTCAATGGCATTTTTCACAGAAATAGAAAATAAATTCTAAAGTTCATACAGAACCACAAGAAGCCTCCAGATAGCCAGCACCATCTTTTTTTTGCGGGGGGGGGTACCTGGGATTGAACTTCTGTCCTTGCACTTGCGCAGCAGGTGACAAAATCACTGAGCTAAATCCCCGGCCCACCAATACCATCTTGAGAAAGAAAAACAAGGTTAGAGTATTATATTTCATTTGAAATTATATTACAAATTTCATTTTTATGTTCTTTAGAATATCAACGTGGAGTTAGCAAGCACAGACTTGAAAGAGGGCCAAAAATATTGTCTCAGATGAGCTTTGGTTCTTAAAACCCACAAAAGGACATAAATTAATTAAAATATGGTTCTCCTTAAGAAGAAAGCTTTGTCATGTTTTACAGAGGGCATTATGCTTTCAATTTTACTGCCTAGATTTTTGGCTTCCATCTAGGTTTTTGACTGACATATTTGACTCAATAAGAGCTCTCTTTTTTTGAAGTACATTTCTTCTCTTCTAACAAAACATGCCTGTAACTTACTATGATCAACCATGGGAATCCTAGCACCTAGCAGGACAGAGACAAAGGTAGGGTTGAGGAACAGATCATCTGCCTCTTCTTTGACAATTCTGTGTACAAGATCCTTGGATTCAGTGCTATAAAATTGGATCTAGGAAGCACCTAAATGAAAGAAGTTGGTCCAAACCATGTTAAATAGCATTCCATGGTTATTTTGGGCCTTGCATAACTTTCTAAAAGCTTGTTATTTTTGATGTAAATTTTTGCCCATGTGTATTGGTTGTACGTGTACATATTACTTCATCCTGACTATTAAGCTTGGGATTTGTGAATATGCATTTCATTGTGACATAACATGACTTTCACTAGGTGTGGTGATAAATGCCTATAATCCCAGAACTCTGGGAGGGTAAGGGAGGAGAATCACAAGTTCGAGCCCAGCATAGGCAACTTAGAGATTTAGCAAGACCCTAATTCAAAATACAATTAAAAGTAAAAGGGGGGGGGGATTGGCCCTAGGTTCAATCCCCACAACTGATAAAAAAAAATTACTTCTGAATCTCAAAACTTAACTACTTTAGCCCACTTTGGTAAATCTACTGCCAGACACATTGGTTTTCAAAATCATACATTATGTTAATTATGGAAACAGAAAAAAATTCCACTTTACACAATAATTCACTAGCTTGCCATAGAACTTTCTTGAGAACAAGATTATACAATTAATAATAAAAGAAATACTGGAACATTCTATGCACGAAGCCCCCCACAGGCTGTGGTTCACAAGTTTTTGTTCAAAAGTAAATTTCCAGGTCCCATCACTAGAAATTTGGACTTAGCTGGTCTGGGGTAGAGCTCAAGAATCTTTATGGCTAAGTTTTCAAGAGGTAAACTCCTCTCCCACCATGATACAGATGCTATGGTCTATGAGTCACCTTTTCAGTGTAGACATTTTTCTAAAGAATTTATTAGGACAATTTTTTTTCTTGCAAAACTTAACAAGAGGCAAAACCAACCCAGAATCTTTTTTGCTTTTATTGCCAAAATGCAAAGAACACAATCATTAGGTCTCAGATAAAGACTAAAGAGTGAGGGAAAGAAACCGTGTAGGTTTAAGGAAAAGTAACATCAGTTGTCAAATGTCACAAATGTACTTCTAGGGAAATGGGCCATGGTACCCAAGTTTATTATGCTCACTAAATCCACTGCCATATAACCACGCTCCAAAGGGATGAACACACACAGTATTTTCACCTTTGCCTGTCAATGCAGTCATTAAAACTAAATTGCCAAGTCATATCCTCTTCTGTTTAGTGTGTCACCCAGTTCCAGAGCTTCACCAGGACCAATTCCATCACACACTTTCCTGAAGCATCCCATCTGTTAATGAAGAATCAAAAGATTCAGAATTTTGCCTATAAATATATTTTATTCTATACTTTAGATGAGTAGTATACAGCATGCCCTTAAGAAATAATTGTTGGGTGGATGAATGAAATTACATTATTATATATATTCACAAAGTTGTAGATCAAGTCCTATTTTCAGAACAGCTGTCAGCAAGTTGATTCTTAAAAGAAATCCGTGCTGAACACTTGAAAAGTTTTTAATTTTTTTGGTAAAAACAAAGTATAGGGAAATTACAAAAGTGGTTCAAAGAGCTCCCTTTTATCATTCATTCAGATGTTAACATTTTGAACCACCTGAGAATAAGTTGCAAATGTAATGCCCCCGTGTGAGTCAGTTTTCCCTTGCTGTGACAAAATATCTAAGAAAAAGCAATTTAAAAGGAAGAAAGACTTCTGTTGGCTCATGGTTTCAGTCCATGTTATGTGATTCATGTCTTTGGACCTGTGACAGCACATTACATCATGGTATGGTGGGGTGGGCTGACTTTTTGCCTCATGGCTCAGAGAGAGAGAGAGAGAGAGAGAGAGAGAGAGAGAGAGAGAGAGAGAGAGAGAGGAGGTCAGGGTCCTAGTATCCCAGTATCCTCTTCAAGGGGAGCCTCCAGTGGCCTAGTTTCCTTCCACTAGGCCCCAGCTCTTAAATGTTCCACCACTTCCTAATAGCGCCACAGGTTGGAGCCATGCCTTCAACACATGGCCTTTGGGGCACATTCCAGAGCCAAACTATAGAGCCCCCTCTACCCCTTCCTATTTCAATGTGTACTTCCTACAACAAAGACATTCTCCTATATGACTAGAATACAGTGTGTACTTTAGGAAATAATATGGATTTAATTTAATCCCTCTAATCTATAGAATCTCTTGAAATTGCTTTGATTATGCCAATTTAATGCCATTTATAGGTAGGTCTTGGACCTCATTTAATATTACTTGGTGCATTTAGCCTTCCTTGTAGTCTCTTTCAATCTACTTTCATAGTCCTGACATTTAATACTATTTACTTAAATTCCTCTCAATGTGCATTTGTCTGGTGTTGTTTCCTTACATATTTAGGTATAAGAAATGGTGACAAAAGATGTAATTTGGGAAGAAAACTTTAAATTTCAGCCTCTCCACTCACCAGGATAAAGAGAATCCAGTTGAATCTCTCCTTAAAGACATTTAATCCTTAAAAGCATTTAGGTAATTAGGAGGTCCTCTGCTCCCCCACCCGATGACATAATAAGTTAAAGAATTTATTCTTGGTATTGACAGCATGGACAATGCAAACAAATCCCATGGCTACCATCCTATACCAACACTCTTGTCAAGTCGCCATCCCCAGCATCCTAAATTTTTAAGCATCAAAGACCAAAACTCCCACATTAAAGAACGTGGTTAGGTTAAGTTATCCTGTCTCACTTGTCTTTAACTTTTTTCTTCTTTCCCGAAGAGTGTTTGTGTATTTTTTCTCGAAAGTTCTTTGGTGGTGTTTTGAGATAAGAACAATCACAAAACACTTCAAACACAGGGTGTGGTGAAAATGTTGACTAAAAATGACGAGGTTTGTAACTATTGCTGACGATCACAGCGGCCTATTTTAATTTAGAGGGCGCCAGTTGCACGTCAGAGAGGGATTCAGAAGCTACCGGGCACACCGCCCAGGGCCAGGAATCTCTAAGATCACCTTGACGCCACTAAAGTTTCCGTACCAGGCCCAGTTTAGAACTGACGAGAGGAGCCTCCTCCTGGTCGAGCCAGTCTTTCAGATTTCGCGGCTGCTACTACAGTGCCAGGAATTCCAAATTTTCTCTTTCTGGAGGCAAAACCCGGTCTGCATCTGGCGCGGCCCTGGGGACAGGTGAGCCGGGCAGCGGCGCCCTTGGGACAAGCTCAGGTACCTTGGCCCCTTTCAGCCCCGAGCGGGTCGCTGGCCAGGTGCTGGCGCCCAGGTGCGCCGGGAGCGGGGCTGCAGCTCCGCTCCGCACCCGACAGTGGGCGCCGCTGCAGCAGCTCACGGGCCGCGGTGCGGGGCGGCTTCGCGAGTTGGGGCAGCTCCTCGCGCTCGGCCCTGCTCGGCGGTGAGAGCTCCGCCCGGGGGCCGGGGGCCTCCAGCTGCCGGGGCCCGCGGGCGCCGAAGGGGCGGACCGACCTCCCCTCAGCCCGCCGGCGGGAACGGCAGAGGCCGGCGACCGGCGAGCGCCCGGGAGCGCGGAGAGCAAGGCCGGCCGGAGCGCGCAGGAAGACACCGAGCGCCCCGCGCCCTCGCCCCGGCACCATGCGACCCGCCGCGCTACCTCGCGGGCCCGGGGCTTCGGGGTCCGCTCGCTGAGCCCCTACGCTCGCCGCGTTGGAAACTCAGAAAAGAGGCGGCGCCACGTTGGAGAGCGGCGCGGAGCCTGACTAGACTTCCTCTCCGCCCCCAAGCCGGTCCCGGTTCCCTGGGCTCCACTAGCTTTGTCATGAACCTGGCGCGAGCTTGTCTTTAGGGGAAATTCGGCAGCCGGAGAGTCAGAGCAATTTTTTGGTTGCTAAGGTAATTGTAGTTGTGACGGAAAATGGGGAAGAAACTAATGTGGGGAAGGACAGTTTGCAAAGGCACGGCCCCACCCCCGGTCTCTGTGTTGGTGTGGGTGCTGCTGGTCCGTTTCGGTGGTGACAGGTGCCGGTGTGTGCCTGCAGTTTGGGACCATGGAAGACGAGCTTACATAAGTGGTTAGGCGAGCTGGCGTGAGGACTTGTGTGGGACGGGTGCAGGTCTGCATATAAATCATGTTCCTGCTTTCTGGGTGTGAGGCGCTCACCAGCCGGGACGAGGGAGCAGAGCGGAGGTGCTTCCAAGGCACTTCGGAGTCCTCCGATTTTGTGGTCTCAGGTAGGGCAGATACCTCAAAAGCAGACATTCAGGAACTTTTTCTCCGAATAAGCTCGTCCATTTGTGGTTTGGAAGGAAAGAGAGCGAATCTCCGTGGTGAGGTGTGGAGGGCTGGGGCCTCCGGTGAGGTCTGTTATTTGGGAGCTGCAGTAGGAAAGTAAGCCGCAGGTATTCGCTCGTAGGGCAGATAAACTACGCGTGGAGACCCTGTTTACACACACTTGCGGCCTACCTTAAGAGTGGCCCAGAAAATTTAATTTTGCTCAGAATGAAAGCTGCTGCATATTTTTGGCTGTTAATTTGATAGAGTAGGCGCATTATTTTCTTTCGTTGAGACTAGCGGCATTCCTATGCTATATATTGAAGATAATTTGAGGCTTCTGTTGGCTTGAAATTGTTCCCTTAGCATTTTTATCAATGTTTGGGGGTTGGATCTTCAGGTAAGCTCTGACCAATACTTTTTAGAAGTCCCATAGTCAAACTGCAGAAACAATCAGGATGAGGTAAAACCAAACAGTGATCCTTTTTTTTCTCTAGAGGAGATGAGAAATAGAAGAATTAGAACTGGACTTGTAAGGATCAGAATGTTGCTAGGGAATAGGCTATAATTCTCTCTGTGTGTGGTTTGTCAAAAATTGTTACACTGAAATGACACCAATTCAGCTTAATATGTTGTCAACAAGGCTCTTGTAGAACAGTTTCACAGGCAGATGGGAAATTATACGGAATGGGAACTGGGATGTTGGTGAGAAACTTCCTGTGAGTTGTATATCTTTATTCTTAATTTAGTGATTTTGTAATGGGTGTAGAAAACTGAAGGAAATTGGAGACTTTTCGGAGAGACACCTTCTTAAACTCTTTCATGCTGAACCAGGAAAGCCAAGATGATAAATTCTTTCTGATTTCTCTGACAGTATTAGTAAGGTAGATTGTTGTGTGAATATGGTGATCTCAAGTACTATAACATATATAGAGTCTATTCCCAATAACTCATCCTTTCCAGAAAGAAGCTGCAAATTCTAGAAACATTAGCTATTGTGAGGTATTTTGGTGATGGAGATACCTACTGATGTTTCCTTTTCCACATTCATTTCATTGGCTCTTAACTGTACTTCCTGTTTCCTTTAAGAAATTTCAATTAACATTCACTGAATTTATACTGCTGATAACTTCAGTAAAACAACGCTGATTTTTCTTTGAAGCATTTTGTCTCATCAAGTGAAACATCAAACAATGTTTTTGTGGCAGAAATGTTTCTTTAAATGAGATTTATTTATTTATTTATTTTTGATTTATGGAATAAGATATCCAACATAAATATCTGAGCAAATATTTCTTGATAAAGAAAAAATTTAAGGATATTTTGGGCAATATAATTTACCAATAATTTGGAATGTCTTATTGTCCCACAAGGACAAAATTTTGGAGAGAAAGTAGGATCATTTTGTATCTCACCTCTCTGACCTTCTCCCATGCATTTTATCCCCAGAACTCCTAAGACTTTGCCTGGAATTGCTAAACATTCCATTTTGTGCCAAGGGTTAAACATCAGGAAGATACGAGTAAGGAGATGGGTGTCACATAAATGTTTTTCAAAAGGGATGCTCTCAGAGATTTCAATCCTGGGATTAAGTTTTCCTTTAGCTTCACAGTTAGCTTGTCTTAATTCTTAGTGCTTTGAACCTAGGAATGCATTTAACCTCTTCATTTTCAGGGCCAGCTGGAAGGAACATATTTACTGTATTTCATTTTCATTGTAACATATGGCATGACATAAATAATTACTATACAAACTGTCCTGCTGCATGCAAAGGAATAGAAATATACAATAAACTTTCGTGTTGAGTGATATAAAATTTCTTTAAAAAGTTTTACTGCTTTTCCCGATTAGAAAAGTAATATTTAGTTATTGGGGAAAAAAATCAAGAAAATACAAAGAAAAAAAGAGAAAGATTATCTGTAATCCTCCACAGATGGTGAATTACTATGAACATTTCTTCAAACTACATTCTTCCAGAAATTATTCCAGTCACATCTTCAGTATATCCGTTCCCCCTTTCTCTATCTCTAATCTTATAAAGAGCACTAGGATATTTTTTAAAGGTTTGGGTTATTACTGCTAGTTTACTGGGTGATTTTGATCAGTTTTAAATTTTTGTTAGTGATCTTTATTTTCATAGAGAGCTGGTTGTCTCTTTGTCAGTTCTTGGAAAACTAATGTTTGTCGTTGGGCTGGCAATACATGGGGTTCCCTCATCTGACATAGGCAGTACAGCACCAGAAAAGCAACAGAAAGAAATTGAGCCATTTGGGGTCAGAGACCTGAGTTCTGCGGAGTGCAGTTTCTCTTTCAGCTTCTCATGTGGCCTTTGGCCACTGGGCCTTTGTTTCCTTGAAAGACAAATAATATTTTCAGATTTAGCTCAGTAAACTCATGGCATATGTGTTGCTTTGACATTTGATAAGGATGATCTTCTTTTGAAGAGGGCTTATGCAAACAGACAGCTGGGGTTCACCCCCAGAGTTTCTGATTCAGAAAGCCTGCAGTGAGGCCTGAGAATTTACATTTCTAACAAATCCACAGGTGATGCTGACTGTGCCAGTCTGGCAACCACATGAGAACTACAGGATAAGCTCCTTGGGTCTTTGGGGCCAAAAACACTCTGCCTCCACCCTGACCCCAGTATCCAGCAATGCATCTGCCAGTAGGTGTTCAGGAAATGTTGGTTCAATCAATATCAGTTATCTTCATAGGGAGAAAACTTTCCAAATAGATCAAGCGAATAACCAGGCAGAATTTGGGACCATGAAGTCTGTAATAAGAATAATTATCAGTCATAAAACATAGTTTTTCTCACTGCAAGCAAAGCACAAATGCTTATGAGTAGGCAGTTAAAATGAACATTAAACAGTGAGTTATGTTAAAAATTACTAGGAATATCTGTTTAAGACATTGCAGACCATGAAGCTTACCAAATGCTTCATAGGTACTTCTCTGAGACCAGTAAGAGTCATTTCATTTTCTACATGCAGTTGGCTCTGGCTCTCCGTGGGTTCTGCATCTGCTCATTCAATCAACTGCAGATAAAAATATTCAGAAAAAATTGCATTTGTGCTGAATATGCACAAATTTACTCCTGTCATTATTAAACAATATAATAAACTATTTATGTAACACTTACGTTGTATTAGTTATTGTAAGTAAGATAGAGATAATGTATAAGAAAAAATGTTCAAAGGTTGTATCCAAATACGATGCCATTTTATATAAGGGACTTGAGCATCCAGGATTTTGATGGCTGTGGGTGACCTGGAACTAATCCACTGTGGATACCAAAGGATGACTGTTTCAAAAAAGGGCAGGGAATATTTGCTAATTACCCCAATTACCAAAGCAGCAAATAAAGCAAGCATTGATGCCCCTGTTGTCTAACTCCCCTCCAAAAGGCATAATAATATTCACTACAGCACCATGACCATTCCGTGAGATAGGTTCCCGTTTTATGGCTGAAGAAACTAATCTCAGACAAATGAATCTGTATGAATCCACAAAGCTAGTAAGTGGCAGCATCAGAAATCAGACCCAGGCCTGCCTGATACCAAAGAAAAGCGTTCTTTACCCCTTCCTCCCACTCACATTGAGTAAGTATATTTGATAGCTTGGGGATTCCAGCAGGCTGAAACACCTCATTTAGAATTTTTGATCATCTTTAAATTATTACTTTTTGGATCATTTTCTTCTACTTACATATTAGAAATGTAGGGTACAGTGAACACTCATTTTTTAAGTATGGCAACCCTAAAAATATGTAAATACTTGACTGTGAACAAATAAGATGCTTCTTTAAGGGTGGCAATTAAAATGAGTTTTATAATTAAATGAGTTGTCTGGGCTTCTCTAAATTATTTGGTGAAACCATCAAAGGATATTTTCACATGGTGGTTTTTCCTTAGTCACTAGTATCTGCTCTCAGGAGGATATTATCTTGCCCAAGTGGAAGCATATATTATACAATATGCCGAGAGCAGGGCTATTGCATGACCTTCAGCTATTGGTAGAATCCTTTGGAGATACCCAAGTTACTTGTGTTTCACTCATTTGATCTGGCTACCCCTATCATTTGCTCTAAAAGTAGCATCACAAATATCTAGAAACTATTCATTGCTTCTCAACCCCAAGTTTCTCATCTGTAAAATAAGAATAAAAATCCTACCTCCCTCTTGAATATGTGTGGCCGTGAGGGCATAGCATTGTATATAGAGGACAGGGAGTGGGATGTAAGAGCTTGAGATGATAGAGCCATCATGATGCAGTATCAGTTTTCTAATAATTTTGACAACGAATCTGTCCGGAAATAGATATATCAAGGTCTGGTTCCTTTTCCCCCTCTTTTTCTTGAGGACCTGCTCTTTCAGTCTAGCATTGGAGGAACTCCCAAGTCCCTTCAAGAATCCTGCCCCATACTTCTAACACTAGGATCTGAAGGGACTTGCAGAAAGCAAGTGGCCAGACATCTAAGTGGGAGAGTGCAGAGTGGGGTAGGTCTCCTTTGTGGTAACCAGAGATACTTCCATGAGCCTAAACGGTGGTTTATCACCAGGATGAGAGGCAAAACAAGGAGAATGCTGCAACAGCAATATGTGTGGGCAAGCATGGACCT